GTTTACCACGAACAATTCAAAAATTTGATTCCATATGGGTTATCGTGGATAGGTTGACAAAGTCTGCTCATTTTCTACCCATTAACATTAGGTATTCATTGGAGAAACTGACTGAATTGTACATAAAAGAAATTGTGAGGTTACATGGAGTTCCATCTAGTATTATTTCTGACCGGGATCCTAGGTTTACTTCTAAATTTTGGGGAAGCCTACATCAAGCCTTAGGAACTAAGCTTCATCTTAGCTCAGCTTATCATCCTCAAACTGATGGACAATCAGAAAGAACCATTCATTCCTTGGAAGATTTGTTGAGAGCATGTGTGTTAGAAGATTCTGGTAGTTGGGACTGATACTTATCATTAATTGAATTTACTTATAACAACAGTTTCCATTCTAGCATAGGTATGACACCCTATGAGGCATTGTATGGGAGAAAATGTAGGACACCTTTATGTTGATTTGAGACTGGAGAAAATTTAATCTTAGGTCCTGACATGATTCAACAAACCACGGAGAAAATTAAGATGATTAGGGAAAAATTAAGAACAACTCAAAGCCGACAGAAAAGCTATGCTGATAAGAGAAGACGACCCCTTGAATTCCAAGAAGGTGAACATGTATTCTTGAAAGTAACACCGACAACCGGAGTTGGTAGAGTAATGAAAACCAAGAAACTCACTCCTCGATTTATTGGTCCCTATCAAATTCTTAGAAAAATAGGTCCTGTTGCTTATCAAATTTCCTTACCCCCTTTCCTTTCTAATATTCATAATATGTTTCATGTGTCTCAATTAAGAAAATATATTTCTGACCCTTCTCATGTAATAATGTCAGATACAGTACAATTAAAGGATAACCTTACATTTGAAACAATGCCTGTACAGATTACAGATATGAAGATCAAGCAACTGAGAGGAAGACAAATTCCACTATTAAAGGTTGTTTGGAATGAAATTACTGGAGATGCTACGTGGGAATTAGAAAAGAAAATCAAAAAAAGTTACCCTCATCTATTTTAGTCGCTAAAAATTTCGAGGACGAAATTTCTGTAAGTATGAGAGAAATGTAACATCTCAATTAATGTAAAAAATAAACATTATCTTATATTAAAAGATAAACATTATCAAAATCATAATTACTATATTTATGATTAAATAAATAAAAAGAAAAAAATTGCTATAAAAAGGGTAGGGGAAGGACGCGTAGAGAGAAAGAGAAAGGGAAGAGAGAAAGGGAGAGAGAGAAAGAAGGAGAGAGAGAAAGAGAGAGAAAGGAAGAGAGAGAAAGAAGGAGAGAGAAAGAGAAAGAAAAAGAGAAAGAAAGAGAGAGAGAGGAAGAGAAAGAGAAAGAAAAAAAAATTATCTCTGCACAAATTTTGGTACCTCATCCGCAGCTCTTAAGATAGGGGAGGAGAATATTATCATTAAATTTATTTTTATTTTGCTTATAGTTGTGGAGTGAGGTGTCCCTAACCTCATTCTATTTATTTAGTTATTTGTTTATTTATCTCTAACTACGTAATGGTCCTACCTTATGCTTGTTTATTTTATCTTTAGTTATGTACTGGTCCTATTTGTTTATTTTATTTTATCTTCAGTCTTGCACTGGTCCTATTTTAATTATCTCCAGTTATGTACTGGTCCTGTTTGTTTATTTTATTTTATCTTCAGTCTTGCACTGGTCCTATTTTAATTATCTTCAGTTACATACTGGTCTTGTTTGTTTACTTTATTTTATCTCTAGTAATGCAACGATCCTATTTATTAATCTATAGTTATATTATTCAATTACAATAATATTTATTTGTGAAGATTTGATGATATTGTAGATGGAGGTTGGACCTTGGGGATTTAAATGAGTAAATATCACTGTGAGAGTGATTAAAATTGAGCTCATTTATCCTGACTAGTCACTACAAATTTAATTTAAATCTTCATAAAATAGAATGTGTTAAGGAAGTTGAAACATATATATCTATATATTATAAGATTGTATTATTGTAATTGATAAATGTTCTCACTCCCTATTGTGATCTTTTGTGCATGTTTTATTTAAACATCAACTTAAGTAGATGGAGGCGCCAAATATTCCAAATCCCTTTTCTGTAAGCATCACTGCCTTCTTTCCAGGAACTACTTGGAACACGAATGTTATAGACAACTCGGTTACTTTTAGAGGGACAAGATTTTCAATAATAACATTTGTATCTGATATGGGAAATTCCATTATGTTAGATGGGCCAGTAGTGGTTACCTTTTTTATGCCTCCTATCTTTTTCCAAAACCCCTTAATCAGTTTGTTTCCACCAGACAATATAGATACTTGTAAAATTGTAGAAAAAAAAATAGAAGGAATCAAAATAAAATTCATTCTTCTTTTTTATATCTTATATAGTGATGTAAATTACTTTTACATATATGTAATATTTTTTTGACCTCCTACTCTTATACAAATAATAATAATAAAAAAAACGTCACGAGATAACATTGTTTAATTTATTAATTTTATCTTTATTTTTCATCTAATATTTAATTTTTGTAAATTAAGAAAAACTATTTATAGTAAAATAAAATATTATTATATTTATTATTTCTACATAAAACCCGAACACAGAGGAGGATTAGTTTTTCATAAATGCAGTTTAAAATATTAAAATAAATTTAACTTGATAGATCTAATTAAAAAATTCAAGAAATAGAATAAATTAAACAAAAAAAAAATTTACTACTTACATTAAATTAGACTTATTTTTGTTAGATAAATGACATCTAGAGGGGGTGAATAGATACACAAATTAAAATAGATGTCAAATTAAAAATTTATTTGTGAGTCAATAATTTGTTTGAACACAGATAAAGCGGAAGCAATAATATAATCAGGAAAGGAGAAAGAGATAAGGGAAAGAGAAGAGCACACAGAGATTTATACTAGTTCGGGTATAGTCAACCCTACATCCAGTTCCCAGTTAACTCTTAACATAAGAGTGACTCCTCATTCACTATCTTTCAAATTCAGTTTACAAATTACAATTAACTCAGCAGAAGAACCAATAAAAAGTAAACTAATTAAAAAGACAATCACCTCCTTAGAAACCTACTAAGGATGAACACCTCCCTAGAATCCCACTAGGGATGAACACCTGCTCTGAACAAATCAAAGGATGAAAACACCTCCTTAGAATCTCACTAAGGATGAACACCTCCCTAGAATCACACTAGGGATGAAAAACACCTCCTTTTCACCAATACACAAAGGATGAAGGTAATAAAAATAAGAACAAACACATCTGGGTAATGAAGACAACAAATTGTAGAAGCCTGTAGAATGTCAATCTCCAAGAACAAGTGTGATTAACAATGAAAGCACAGAAGGTAGTAGAGAAGAGGGTTTTCTCAAAATGTGTAAAATATCTTTGTTGTCTTGCTTAAAATTCTTTTATCAAAACTGATTGAATGTAAATTGTATTTTCGAATTCTGTAATTGTGTGTTTTTTATTTTTCATCAAAACTTAATTAAATAGAAAAATAACATCAGAAAATGGCTGTTGGACATTAATAATATCATAGAGAAAATCAGGATGTATTCAAAAATATTTATTCTTTAAAATGGATATATTTTTCAAATTTGAATTGTCATAATTGATTATATTACCAGCATAATCAATTATGACAGAGAAAATCATTTTTCTATTTCTGATGCATCATAATTGATTATGACAGAGAAAAATATCATGTTATGAATTTTATCATACTTGTGCTTTGGAGGCTTATGCATAATATTACTTCATCAACTTGTACCTCCATATCCAGCATTCTAAGACTTTATCTAGTCTTCAGGAATCATCTTGGGCTTGCTTGAATCATCATCTTTATCAAAAACCTATCTTGGTATGTAGGGAAATGTTTCACATTTTCACCAACATCATAAATTCAACTTGTCCTTAATTCATCTTGAGTGGTGTTGACTTGAATGTAGTTGACTTGAATCATCATCAAAATCATCTCTTGGGAATGTAGGGACATTTCCAATAATCTCCTCCTCATTGCTTTTAATTTTATTCTGATTAAAATATACAAACTTAAACTAAATAAACCTGTAAATTTATATACAACTTATTTTATAAAATAACAAATTATTTTTAATATAAAAATAAAAATGATATTATTTTATTATATATATATATATATATATATTATAAATTCATTTATCCTTATTTTAAAAATAAATATTATAATAAATTTTAAACGATCTAGTATTTAAAATAAATTATTATTGTAAATCAATTAATTACTAAAAATAAATTATGATAATATAGAGTAATTTTTTAATTTTTATTTTAAAGTTTAATAAATTAATTTTTTTATAAATTATATATTAAATTATCATATTTTAAATAAAAATAATTTTATTAATATACTTTAAATTTTAAAAATATTTTTTAAAATTTTTAATCAAATTAAAATTATTATTCCGTTAATTTATCATATGCGGGACTGCTAGTCAAGTTTTACGCCCAGTTTTATATTTTAAAGCATTGAAATGAAGTTTCAAGATGCAGAGTTCGGAAATTAAATTTGCAAAAAACAAGCATGAATTGAGATTGCTCACTCAACAACAGTAATGGAAGTACCAGAAGAATATACTATTTAAGTTGGTTTTGTGAATAAAGACAGAATCGCATTTGCCAAAGTGCAATGTAATAATGCACACAAATGTAACCTTTAATCTACTTCTCCTTCAGCAGGTAAACAAAGACAAGTACCCAGGAGAATAGCTGAGTTTGAACTAAGTAAACAATTCATCTGCAAAAAATCTTGCAATATAAATCTAAGCATCTTAAAGAGACTAAATTAAACTTAACCACACTATTTTGTGGCTCAATATTGACACATTTACACTACTGAACTATGGCTTGGTTCTTGCTTTCTTGATGCAACCTTATTACTATGTTGGTGGTAGTAACCAACTTTATGAGAATGATGTTCCTTGAAAAGGGTTGGTTAGTAGCGGAATTGTCTTCCAGTGTAGGTCTGTCCAAAAGACCAACTTGGTGGTGCAGCATTGTATGAGAGCAGACTGCGGCCATCACTTGTGGTGACCAAAAAAGAGAGACTCTGTCCATTAAGGTAGGAATTGCTCTGCCAGTTTTGGCCCCAATTCCTTGACATGGCTTGCCATCTAGTCCTTGAACCTTTGATGGCCACAGAATGCACATCACCAGCACCTCCAACATTAGTCACAAGGACTAAGTTGAAGTATGAATGACCATTGATGGTGAACCTGATTCCTCCCCTTCTTCTGCACCTTACCCTTCAATCAAAATCCATGAAGACAAAAATGTTAGCTTCAAGACCAAAAGGTAGTAAAAGGATAAGAGTAAATACTAATGCATATTTATGCCGACCATGTAATTGTGATCCAAACATAATTGCAATTCCTTACATTTTAAGTTCAGGTTAATGTCTGAAGTGAAACTTTAAGTGTGATTGACCAATAGTGCAAGAAAACATTCAAAGAACTGCATTTAAGTTTCATCCTGGAAGTGATTATGTTTGTACAAATTAATTACATTAGCACATACTCCTTATATACTTGCCTACAATTTATCTGATAACACTGAGCATATAGTAACTATTTTCGTTAGAGGTCTGAGTTGTGCACACACCTCACATGCTGCATAAATACAGAGTGCAAGAATCTTTAAGGATAAAGGAAAATGAAAGTGGTGAATTACCTTCTGTACACTACAGGAACAATACCAGCTTTGTATTGAGCAATTTGCTGAAAAACAGGTTGAGAAAGATCAAAATGGTGATTAGGAGGGTCACACCATCCACCAGGGGGGCAGAAATTAGTGGCAGTGACTACAATGGTGCCAGGGCGGCACCACTGTGGGTCATTTGCACATTTGATTTGGTAGCATGAGCCACAACTCAAGCCATTGTTGAACAAGGCAGTGCTAAGTGCTGCTGTGTTAGTTCCATACCCTTGGCTATACAAGTTTCCATAGCCACAAGCCCCACCTGCAATATGATGTGATAGATAACTATGTAAGCAAATATGCACAATTTTGGCAAACACATACATTTCTTAGTCACATTTGTTCATGCATGGAATACATAATACATTAACACATACACACATACATACCCATTGTCCCAGAAGCATCACTTCCACCATAGAATGTGGCATGTGCATTGGTCCAACCCCCATTGGCGACATAACCATTAGCATATGAGATCAAGATGGAGAGACACCCCAGAAGGAAAAAGCCAACATGAGCCATTTTCCTGCATAAATGCAGCAGAGAATTGTTCACAATTGATTCAGCAATGTGATGCACAAATGGAGCACAGCTAGTAATGCTCCCTATAACAATAAATTGAAAGAAAACACAAGGAGGACATAAGGGGAGATAATTAATTACATGAATGTGAACATTGAATGGAGTTGTTTGGGAAATGAGGGGGGGATTGGAGATGGAATAAATAGAGGTCAGTCAACATCAAACCCTGACAAACTTTAGCTGTTGGGACCATGCAAGTGCAGAAAAACTGTGAGGGAGAAAACAGCGTTGGAACTCACCTCAGTTTTGTGGAAACTCTGTTTTTCAATGGAGATCACAACATTTACCATACAAACCAAATGAGTCAAACGGAATCATTACCTGCTCAAGTCATGTAGAAGAATCAGCATGAACCACAATTTTCCCAACAAATACTTACAAACAATTAAGCACTCCAAATTTAAAAAGTTACAACTCAATTATTATTATTATTTTGTGAATTTTATCATTCAAATTTTCTTGGAACACCTAAAAGAATTTTTTTTACTAATAAATGTTATCAAATAATAGATATTATATTTTAATACTAACATTCCCACCATTTTTTCACTTTGTTTTTCTCCATTTTTCACTAATCAAATATAAAGATTCTAACATATATACCTAAACATTAATAACACCATTTTAATATATTTTTAATTAATTGTTAATGAAATTTATTAGAGATTACAAAATTACAAACAAAACTCATTAGTTACACAATTTTATATAATTTGTAAAAAACTATAACTGATAATAAAGAAATATATTAAATTAAAAATTGAATCATTCAACTATTATAATTCTATGGACAATTGCATTCATATATGGTTCCCCTTTGCAGTGTTGGTGCAATCAGTTTAGATATCTATCCCATCATAATCAATTCCAAAGATAAATAAATAAGTAAAATTCTTATAGTACTTATTCTTCTAATATAATTTGAGTTTTTTTTTCTATTCAATCCTAAAATCTAATTTATGGAAATATAAATATCTCTTATTTATATACATTATTTTGAATATATTATTATTATTATTATTATTTAGTGTGTTATATTAATATTATACATCATGAGATAAAATTTATACAACTAAACATTTCAATAAGATGATTTTATGAACTTGACAACAACTATTAACACAAGTTTTTGACATCAATCATAAATTAATGTAATATCTGTCATCTCATCATTTTTATTTTAATATGTTATATTTATTTAAGAAAGATAAAAAGTACTAATTTTATAAAATAAATCCTATCATTATTAATTCATTGATAGTTTCTATTAATTATAAATAAAAATAATAATATTAGATTAAAAATAAAATAAAACATCTTTTGAAAATTATGTGTTTTCTTACAAAATATATATGATCCGAGGTCAGTGAAGTCTTAATCAATCTTTACTTCAAAAACATTTATCAAATTTTGTCACAAACTATATATATAAATAAAAAATTGAATTATATGTATGATGTAGATACATAGAAACATATACACATGGTAAAATAAGGGTTTATTTGGATGATGTAGATATCGCGTAGAAACAAATTTTATTTTTTAATTTTTAAAAATTAAAAAAATCATCTAATAACTATGTTGTTAAAATATTGTTTAAAATTTATTTTAAATTTTTAAAAGTTAAATAATTTAAACAGATGAAATGTTTTTCTATTTTAGATTTTATTTTTATTAATGAGAATACTTTTTTTATATAATTATTTTTTAACAATGCTTTTTTATCATTATGTCAACTTTTTTCTTCTAAAATAATTTTAAAAATAAAATAAAATTATTAAATAATTTTTTCTCTTGTTTTTAAAAATAAATTTTGAAAATAAAAACAGTTATGCCTGTAAGTCTACCATAGAATGGGGCAGTTAACAGAGCAGAGAAGTTCCTGCAAAGACATAGATGTTTGGCTGGCAAGCATGCAAAGGTGTTCCTGCATTAAATTCAAACATGTGCTATTTATTCAATTCTGCAGACACAATACCTAGTTGTCACTATTATACTATGCTCATCATATTCATACCACATGCATCAAATATCCACACATTTTTTTCTTCTCGTTCAATTGATTTATTTTAAACATATATGATTTTGTATTTGTGATTTGTTTTTATTTTTTTTTCATTCTTAGTTGTTTCCATCAATTTTGTTATAATTAAGATTGATTTGAATATTTCGAGGGAAAAGGAATTCTTCAAAATTTGATAATTTTTTCTTCTATTTCAGTTTTTGTTGCTTAAAATGAATCTCTTAAGTGTTAATTTTTTTTTCATTCATAAAACTAAATTTGATTTTTTTTTAAAGATAAAGTGTCTTGTTATTTTAATGTATTTACAATTTTGAAAATAAAAAATTTATTTTCTTTAAAAGTATTGAAATTAAACTTATGGGATTTAATCAAGAGCTTGTAGTGAAAACAGTAAGTTTTTTTTTTATATAATTGAATAAAAAATAAGCTCAAACTGTTTGATATAAAATCATAGATTATTTTCCTAAACCAACATAATCAAAATGTTTATTGAAATATATTTTTATAATTATTCTAACCTAAGCTCAATTAATTGTAATTAAATGATGAAACACAGTGTTAAAAGGATGATATTATTTAAAAGTTACTTAAAATGAATTATTCTTCATTTTTTTTATAATTTAAAATTTAAAAGTAAGTTATAAAGTGACAAGTATCTGTTATAAAAATATTTTTAGAATAATTTATTCTATTTATATTAAAGAATTTATCCGCTAAATAATAATTATAATATCCCAAATGATATTAAATATAATATATTATTTTGATTTCGTCGGCAGGGTGTTATGAAGTCCCTGGAATTTTGTGGGAGGGTAGGGTAAGCTTAGGACAAATTCAAGTACTTTTTCACATGGATAAGATAAGGACCTTTAGCCCTACCACCAACCCATCATTTTTGTAAGATCTTTTTCTACGTTTCTAATTATCTTTTATTTTTCAACCACATAAAATAAATAAAGAAATAGTAGAAATACTATAATTACTTAATATATAATTACACTAATTTTTCATATTATATAATTTAGTTTATAAAAAATGTATTATATTTTATTTTAAATTTGTATATACATTAATTTTAATTTATAATAAAAACATTTTATAATAAAATAAAAATGTCATGATATAATAATAGTTTTGAAATTTAAAAGTATATTTAAGAAAGGAAGATATATATAAAATATTATTAATCTCGATTTACACTAATTTTTTATATTATATAAATTAATAAATATTTTTTTCTATTTAAGAATATAAATATCACAACTTCATGATAATATTAATAAGGTTAATTCTCGTATGTTCATTTTAGAGTTCTAATCCCTTAAAAAAAGCTTCTTGATGAATTTATAAAAAATATATATATAAAATATCATTAATCTTGATTCCTAAAAGATTAAGGGTAGAAATAGAACGAGACTATATTTTTAATTTTACAATAAACACCAATATTTAATATAGAAATATCCAATATTTAATATAGAAATATGAATATTTTTATCTTATATTCACTGTAATAATATTATTAGAATTATTTTTTATTTATCATATATTAATTGTCTGCTTTATCATTCTAATTCATCCCCTAATGTATGGTACCGATTGATTTGATGTCAGTCTTAAGGGAGGGTGATACGGGAATTTTTTTTTTTTTCTTTGTGGGATTCACACAAATATCCTTTTAACAGATCTAACATGGAACTTAATCAAATTACATGCGATGTCGTTTCATCTTTTACCTCTCACATCGATATTATTAAGGAGTTAGGTTAGAATAAGTTCCATATGCAGGTCACGTTTGGGTAGGGGTTAGCACGAGGGCTATGGTCCATTAATTCAATCTTGTCTATGCTTCATGTTCATTTTCTTCAATGCAGTTTTCAGAATTAATTTTAAGTAATTTTTTAAATCAGTTAGGGTTATATTTTGAATCATCTAACTCAGTTTAATGTTTACATTCTTTTAATATATATATATATATATATATATATATATATATATATATATATATTTAAACAATTATGTCTTAATGATAAAAGTTTATGTAAATTACAATTATGTTGTAATTTCTTTTAAATGTTTTAATTCTTACTAATAAAAAATAATATTTAGTTTTTTTTATTTAATTTACAACAACCATTTTTATTATAAAAATAACAATATAATATATTTGAAATAATTAACAAATGTTAGTATAATATATAAATAATGTCAATTTTAAAACAACTAAGAAATTGTTATAAGTCTCAAAGTAGTATTGAAAAAGAAAATTGAGTGTAACTTATTCTAACTTTTTATTCAATAGATAACATATATATTTAACCATAAACAAAATATTATAAAGTATACTTTAATATAAGTTTATAACGTGTTATAATTTAACAATATATAAAATTAGCATATTATATTAAAATGTTTAGTGAAATCGATTTCAAGTTTTAATTAAACCCAATTCATATATACAAACTAGTTAAAATCTTAAGTTAAATAGAAACCCAAAAAAAAAATCATTCCTCTTCAACCTAGAATTGGGAATAAGGTGTTTATTTATACAGTTAAAAAAAAAAACTACGTTTCATCATGCATAAAACAAGCACCAGAATACGTACAAAGTTATTATTATTATTATTATTATTATTATTAATGATAATAATAATAATAATAAATTATTATTATTATTATTATATTATATTATACGTATGATCTGATTATAATTTATATGAGGAGATATTTTCTTTTTGTCATGATACGGCAATGTGTCATGTGTCTCATGAATGAAAACATCTATTACATTTCAACTTTAATATGAGATTATATTAAAAAATATTTTTTTTTACTTAAATTAGTTAAAAAAATCTAATTAATTTGTTCAATTTTTTTAATTTTTTTAAAACTCAATTATATAAAAATAATAAACCGATTTCTAAACTGAATTTCAAACTATAAGATCTCCGGTCCAATTTTCACACAAATGCTTAAAAAAATCATATTTCATACAAAAGGACATGTAAGTCACATTTAAAAGACAATGTGATCCATATTTCATATAAAAGAAAATTGATACTCTAATTTGAT